GTGGCTCAGGTACGTCCCCCTCAACAGCACGGTGACAGCCCCCCAGAACCTGCCCAACTACGAGAACACCGTCCTGTTCTGCGTCACGGGCTTCCAGTACCTCATCCTGGCCGTGGCCATGTCCAAGGGATATCCCTTCCGGGAGCCTCTCTACACCAACGGTGAGGGGGGTGCCACGTGGGCACACACACCCACCAGCCCTCCCCATCCTCCTCCTCCTCTTCCCCCCACTCCTCACCCTCCCCCCTCTCATCCTCAGTGCTCTTCCTGCTCGTCCTCATCCTGCTGTTTGGCCTCATGATCTGGTTGACCCTCTACCCGCTGGGCTTCCCCAAAACCCTCCTGAAGCTCCAGGGCATTGAGGACTTGAACTTCAAGCTGCTGCTGCTGGGAATCGCCGCCCTCAACTTCTTCGCCGCCTTTGTGCTGGAGGTGGGTCTGGGAAGGGCGTGTGGGACCTGCTGGGTCTGTCCCAGGGGTGGGCTCAGGGCTGACCTCGCTGTCAGCTCCACCCTCTCCCAAGAAATCCCCTCTCCAAGGCTGTTTTCCCGCCCGTGTGTGCCGCAGACCGCCCTGGATCACGGCCTGCTCAGCTGCTTCCGCCGCTTCCGCCGCAGAAAAACCTCCAAGAAGCTCTTCAAGAGGCTGGAGAAGGAGCTGAGCCAGCAGCAGCCGGGCTGGCCCCCCCTCCACGAGCCCCTCTTTGCCACCCCCAGGATGTCCATGGCCCTGAGATAGCGGGCACGGGGCCCCCCCCGCCGCCAGCCCTTGGACAGCAGCCTGGATTTATCCCGGGAAAAGGAGGGATGTGGTGGGCGGGAGCCCACGGGACACCCTCGACACTGGATCCACGGGCGTGGTGATCCCACGAGGAGCAGGTGGTGGAGGAGAAAGTGGGGGGAGAAGATCCAGAGGAAGAGGAGGAACAAGAGTGGTTCTTCCTCCGGGGGTTGTCCCGCTCCTGCGCTGGGCGCCGGTGCCGTTCCACGGCCGAATTCCACCTCCCTTCTCCTCTCCAAACCGAGCTCAGTGACCTCTTTCCAGCTGGAATTTCCTAGAAAATAATAATTATGGCTGGAAAACCCCAGGTGGCCTGGCCAAGGCTCCGAAACCTCACTCCGAGGAAACTCCGGCAGACGGAGATGCCGCGTCCCAAAAATGGATGAGGGTCCCTGATCTTCTCCCAGCGAGGTCACCCCCGGCCTTCGTGTCCATGTCACTGTGACTCCCCTCCATGGCCCTCCCTAGATGTGTAGGAAGTTTACAGTCCCCCTTCCCAGCTTGCCAAGGATGCTGCTCCATCCCACCGGCCCCTTTCCCGCCTGGAATGCTCCCACAGGGCACTTCTGCTTCCAGCTGGGACCTTTGTAGCATTAAAAACACAGCCCAGATCTCTTTATTTTTTAACTGCACTCCGATGGCTCGAGGTGTCAAAGCCGTGGGGAGGGTGAAGGTGCCAATCCCGGGGTCTGGACGGTGCCAATTCCAGGTTCTGGACGGCGCCGATCCCGGACGGTGCCATGGGGGGTGTTGTCTAATAAATTAACACTATTTTCTTGACTGCTTCCTTGTGCTGCCTTGTGGGGATGGATGCAGGGGTGGCATAGGGGAGTTTCCATGGAATGTGGGAGCAGGGAAGAGGTTTCAGGGTCACCTCATTCCCCAGCCTGGCTGGAAGACGCTCCGATGCTCGAAAGCAGGGAGCGGAGCCAGGGATGACACCGCTGGGATTCCAGCAGCCCAAACTCAGCTGAGTAGCCACTTTCCAGCTGGAATTTCCTAGAAAATAACAACCACGGCTGGAAAAGCCCAGGTGGCCTGGCCAGGACTCCCAAAGCTCACTCCTTCGGCCGAGGAAAAGCTGGAGACGACGCATCCCGAGAGGGGAAGAGCCGATCCCCAGGGACGGGGACGTGCTGCCTGCAGCCCCTTCCCAGGATTTTCCAGCTGCCTCCCAGCCTGGCTCTCGGCTCACGGGCTGCTTCTAGCGGGAACTCGTCTCCATGGAAAGTCTCTCCCCCTCGGAGCGCCGGCGGCCTCTCTGCCCTCCGGGAGCTGGGGATTAGGTCAGGAAATGAGGCACAAGCAGAGGTAAGAGGTTTCCTGAAATCCCAGCCAAGGCTGCAGTTATTAAACCAGACTTCCCGAGTTAAAAAAAGAACCTCCACACCCCAAAATCTCGGAGAATTCTGCCCGTTCTTGGCGGTTTTCAAAGCAAAAGCACCCAGGGCTCCTTTTCCCCTTGGAATTTCCACGCCGCTCCCACCCCCCGGGGTGTTTTGCTTGGCTGGATTCTGAGGGTGTTCCCGCCTCCGGGGGGGGGGGTTGTAAAGTCCATTTAATTATTAACGGGCAGTTCCTGCCCTTGGGTAAAGGTTACCAGGGCTGGGATGAGGATCATGCTGGATTTGGGGGCCGGGAGCAGCTGTGTTTGGAGTCACTGGGATGGTTTTATCCGTCCTTCAGCCTGGAAAACCAGGCTCGGGAGGAGCCGGGAGCACCTTTTGAAACCCTGTCTGCTCTGAAAATCCACGTGTTCCTGGTTCTGGGAGCAGTCAGTCCCTCTCCCAGCTGCACAACCCAGCGTGGGCTGGGTGGAATCCTGTCCCGCGGATAAAAATTCATCCCCATTCCCATCTCCAGAGCCGTTTTCCCGCCATCCCAGCACCCCCTGTTTGCTCCCCGGTGGTTTTATACCTAAAAATCCGCAGGTTTTCATCCCGCAGCTCCGGGCTCTGTAGCACCTCCAGGCTCGGGGGGGTTTTAGGGATCATCCCAAGCTTTACCGGGATGCCCCTGGTATCCCGTGCCCTCTGGAACGCAGCCAGCAATCCAGGGAAAAGGGGCAGCAGCGCTGGCTCCCACCCCATCCAGGGGCTGCCCACCCTCAGCCTGAGTGGGAAAAGGGGAATTTTGGCCTTTTCCCGCCCTCTATCCCGGGATAAAGCTTCAAATCCCCTGGGATCGCAGCATCCTCTGCTCCTGGGGAGGGTGGAGCGCTGATGCCAGTGGATCAGGAG